AAATATATATATATATATTTCACAAGAGTCCATCACGACAGAAACCCAATATTTTTACTGTTCTATTTGTGGTTTTTTTATTTGTGCTGATAAATAAATAAAGGGAGACTAGTATAGATCTATTTCAAGCTATTTAGCTCTCATCAGCTAGCCACACCCTTACTGGGATATATATATGCCTGCAAAGTGCTCCCGGGAGCTGGGGATGGCAGAAATGATTGAGAAATGGGCCATTTCTTTTGCTCATTTTTGCCCCCTAGCCCCCAGGAGCACTCTAAAGGCTATGCATGCATCTTTTTTTTTTTTGGCAAAAAATAGGCTGGTTTTTGCAAAAAATGGCCTGTTTTTTGCTTGGTTTTGCTCCCCCCCCCCCAGCCCCCAGGAGCACTTTGCAGGCCTCTCAAGCTCTCTGCATGCCCTGTTTTTCACAAAAATGAGACATGCAGGGGGTTTGGGAGGTATGCAGAGTGCAAAAACTTTTTTTTTAATTTACCTCTTCAAAATCTTAGTGCGTCTTATACTCCTAAAATATAGCAGTGGTTTTAAACAACAGAACAATTCATTTTCCAATCTAACGTCTTCCAAAAAGGGCATTTTTGCATGTAATGTGATAACTTTTCCCCCCACACCCCAATTCCATCTGAAAGATATCCTACTACTGAAAATTATTCCAGGTTTGTTTGTCAAATCCAACAGACCAGCTGTTACCCTTAAAAGCCAGGCATCCCAAAAGCCAAAAGACAACTTAAAAACTTACAAGATTGGGAACGAAATTTTACAGCCACCATACTGTTCCAACTCTGATATCAATAAACCTTGACTTTATTTCCATCGTCTAATCTGGGTGGGGTAACTGAGTCATTCTTTCTGAAGGCCTCCAAGGCCATTTGTAGACTGCTGTAATGAAGCCACTCAAAAGTTTGGCCCATGCTTTATTTCTTTCACTAAGAAATAGTGGCTAAAGATTTCTTTTTAAGATGTACTTCATTGTCAGTGTGCAGGTAGTTCTTGACATACAACCAGTGGTGGGATTCAGCCAGTTTGCACCTACTCAGAAGAACCGATTGTTAACTTTCTAAGCAGTTCAGAGAACCGGTTGTTGGAAGAAATCTCCTTTTATTTTTTCCCACTTCACAGGGCTAATTCTGTAAGGAAGGTAGGAAGGAAATATTCTGGTGTTGTTTATAGCCTCATCTTTATTGCCCAGCTTACAAAAACTGCCTCTCCGGTTAACCCTTATTACACTGTAACAGCTAAGGCCCATTGACATGAGAGACAGTGAGTTGGCCATGCCCACACAGTCACATGACCACCGAGCTACACATACCCAGCTGGTCATTAGGACAGAGAACCGGTTGTTAAATTATTTGAATACCACCACTTACAACCATCCATCTGAAGTCACAGGGGAACTGCAAAAAGAGATTAACAGCTGGTCCTCTTACTTAAGACCATCACACCATCCCCATGACCAAAACTGGGGGATATTTATGATGGCTACAGCATCCAG